TGTCATTGAAGAAAATACTTTTCTTTCTAACTAAAACTGATCTATCAGTAAGATGATTGAAGACTAAATAGTTGAACAATTACAGAATAACATTTCATGGTGCTTTTCAAGAGCAGAAACATGAGTAATGTATAGCACTCCTTTTACTCACTCTCAAGTTGCAGCTTGACACCAACTTCAGGTTAGAAAAGGCCCAGTTTTTCTTCACGTGCAGTGCTTCATCACTTCCAGAAGAAAGTAAGCCATTACAACTTTGTTAAAAACCTCATGCATACCCCATGGCAAGCACATTTGCCTCTGCCCCTAAGTGTCTCTCCTGAGGATAATCTACAAAGGGCAAAAGGTGGTTACCTGACTCTTTCCTTTCACTAGCCTTAATTTATTCTCTATCTTGTATTTAAGAACCTTCTTGCATACTGGATTTACATGCAGATAGCCAATGCTCTGAACAACAGCTTATTTTCATGCATATATCTTCAAACTAAGGCCAGTAACATGAATTCTTGCCCTGTATCTTTATTTGTAATAATGCATTCACAAATCCCCTGTACAAAAGCTGTGTTTTACTAACTCATCAGAAGTGCTACACTGCAAAATGGGAAGCCTCAAACAAGAGGGGAGATGAAGGGTATTGCATTCCACTTTCCTTTAAAATCACCCTAATATTACACCTGGAGAGCTCTTTTCTTCCTGGCTTATGGGAGATTTGACATTGACTTTCCTAGGATCAGACTGTCATCTTTAATCCAACACCTTCCTCTTTAATCTGCTTGTTTACAAAAGAGAAACTTTTGCCAGTCAACCACTTCAGATGAGACAAAGGTAGTGAAGAGATGTAGGGAGAGAAGTAAAGTGAACTTCATGCTCAACTACTACAACAGGATTGGTTCAGCAAAGAGCCATTAGTAAGAGAAGTAATTCTGCTCACAGTAAAACACAGTCATCTACGCAGAAGCATGACACTAATGAACAGTGACCAAACTCGGATGTACAGTGCGAAAAAAACAAGCAGCTCATAAAGGCAAACACCTTCTCCCAGAAACAATTTACAGACTGTAAAAGTCTTTGGAAAAAACTTGATGGCAGAAACTGCTCAGCAGTTCTAAATTGGTTTATTCTACAAGGACAGTTTATAATAATAATACCTACTGTACAGCATTAATAAAACCAATAAGCATGCCAGGTCAGGCCACCAACAAGGAGGTACCTCTGACACACCAACACAAGGGAGCCACCAGAACCGCTACACGTTTCTTTCTGCTGAATCATCGTGCCTGGAACAAGGCATCCTCCCCATGCCAAAACCACACCCATATGTGTTCCACTCAGCAGGAGCTCCTTTATTAGCACTTTCCACTTGCTGCGGTGTTCTTGGGCAATATAGTTCCCAAAAGCACGATGCTGCAGTTGAGCCCAAAAGTCCTAAAGAAATTTCTAGTTCATGCCCTGTCCCAGACAGAAGGAAAGAAAGGTGAAAATGCCCCACAATGTCAGCACACAGGCAGGGAATTCACTCACCATCACCCCACCGGTAATGCAGCCTGGGCTGGGGTGCAGGCTCAGCCAGAGGGGAAAGCAGTTGCTAGCAAAACCCAAGTACACCCAAGTACACCTGTCTGAGCAGGGCACAGGTGATACACAGCTCTCACCATTTCCATTTCAAAGGGGCAGCTCTCATTTCTGTCCAGCTCCTGGTTGTTAGTGCCCTCTTGCTGAGATAGCTGAATGCCTTTGACTGACAAAGACTTCACTGACGTCGCAACTGTAAAATCACAGAATAATAAACGTTAGTAAAGACTGAGGTTGGCAGTGGACACAGCAAAGCAGCATACTTAGAACCAGCTCGTTTTGCCAAAGGAATTAAGAGCATTAACAGTACAAGTGTGAAAATGCCCTTCTGGAGTTTCTAATGCACCACATAGACATTTCCAACCCATCTGGGAGGATATCTACAGTCCAGACTTAAACTTCATTTGGAAATCATGCCTGCCCTATCTTATAAAGCAAAGCAAAGTTGTATACCCAACCAAGTATTAAGGTGTGTACTACAGAGGCTGCACTTTTATGCATTCTGCTTGTCATTCCTAGTGTTTCTCAGTGATATGAATTAATGAATTCTGGTCTTTATTGCAGTAACCAAGTAATATAATCTTGCAATTATGGTACTCTAGTATTGTTTGAAAAAATGAGTGTCAGAAAAAATTGCAGACCTAAGCATAAGCCAGGCTTGAGTCCTAATCCTGCCCTTGCAGCTCTGTAATGTGGTTTTGCATGTGGCTAGGGATTTCTGTGTCTCATTTTCTGCATCAGAAAGATATGACTACTTACCTACTTGATGGAGTCAGAAATGCTTATGAATTTATAGTCCCATATGTCTTTTGCAAGTTCTTCAGTGATTCTAGAGATGAAAAGTAAATTTTTCCACTAGATCTCCTAACCACACGAGTATATTTTATTGCTAAGTTGAAGGTTTTCATTTTCAGATTCATCCAACTGTAAAATAACTATACATTTGGAAAAAATCAAAACAATATACTTAATTTGTTCATGGTCAGCTTTGGTTAAACCTTAGTGGATTATCCGTAAAAGCCCAGAATTGGATGCTGCTATTACAGAGGGATAGGCAAAAGGCTATTGGAGACACGGTCTTTTGTGTCCTAGACAAAGACAACAAACCTTTTGTCCATCAGACCTGGCTCTTTTGATTCACTAATTTTAAAGGACACTGTGACTCTCAGGTAAGCATGATCATTCTGCTCCAGAGAAAGGAGCTGCACTATGATAGGAAAGGACAAAACCACTAATATCAGACCCCTCCTGGAAATGAAATGTCTGCTCCACAGCATGAGCATTAAAAAAAATAACGTGTACAATTCTAACCCCACTGAAGCCAATGGTTAAACTCAACAGAGCTAGGCTTTTACTCAGCATGTTTGAATGAGTTATTAAATGAACTTTAGTTGTCCCTAAAAATAAATGTACTGTGTGGATCTAAGTGCAGCTGATGAATAAGAAACCTCAGGGATCTAGCAAATACAGTAGTTAGGGCTAAAACCAGAGACGGCAAAAAAGGTTGCAGAAGAGAGTAGCTATTAGTGGCTATCTAAGCCTTATGTCGAATCTCAAGGTCTCTCGTGCCATCTACTGGCTTTTTTATTTGCTTACAACGGTTTAAACTTTTCCTCTAGGTTTATTTATAGGTCTGATACGTTCCAGGTAGTTTTGTATAAATTCTAATCAAGGGTTTGGGTGGGATTTTTTTCCCTCTAACCTCCACAGCTTATTACTATGTGGGTTTTTTCCTGTAAGTACATTACAGTTCGGTACCTTTCTGAATACCATTTCACATTGTCTCTGGAGGAAAAAGGCATTGCCTAAGACATTCTCATTTCTGTTATTGCTGGATAGACAGTAATTACACTGCAAGCAGGACTGGGAGAACAGTTTACTTAGAAAATCCAAAGCTGTTCAAAAATAGCACTTACAGTTCATCCTCAATCATTGTGAGAAGGTTGTCATTTTGGTACCTGAAAATGTTTAGTGTGCAAAAAAATCTGGTTATCCCTCTATTTTTCTTTGCAGTTCACTTAGCTGTAATTCACAGAGAACATTTCTATTTCTTAATATTAATAAGTTCACTTTCAGATGGGTTTTGGGAAGCAGGAGT